ACTAGCCAAGTCCTGAAGGATATAACTTCTAGGACAAGCTTCAGTAGGTGATGCTTCTGTCCGTGACCGTATCAATAGTAACCATTGCAATCTTCGTCTCAACAAAGTCCCACCTTCAAATCAAGGATGCTTTTTATCTTGGTGTGAGTGCCACACACCAGGATGAATCGGATTGATTTCAAACAGACTGAACAACTCAAAACTGAACATTAATGTGGCACAATGGGAATACGGCAGCAACAGAAAAATTAGGTTCAACCATAATCCGTGACCTCACTGTCTCACATATCCTTTACTCTACCATTACAATCAAACTGGGGAATCAATTTTTGTTCAATGATGAGTGCAGGAAAACATCACAGAAAGACTGACACATACCTAAAACAATGCATCAATGTATGAAGGTATACACAACTGCTTGCATGTCTAAAAGTGGGGACAGCATGTGGTGGACAGAACAAAGCGATCCCATAAACAACGAATCAGGCCTTAACCTCTGCAGTGCAGACACATCTAGCCGTGAATGGTGACGGATCACTAAACATCTATCTGAAGGAGGAGACTCACAAATACCCTCGCAGTCAATGATGTGGCAGCTCAGTATACCAGTGCAAAACACTGAAGAATTTGTAATTATCTTTAGCCGAAGTGTCAAGTGGAAGATCCATCTCAGGACCATTCCAAGAGGCCCCAGCATCACAAATGCCATCTGCAGCAAATTCTATTCGCTTCACCTGATATCAAGAAATCACTGGAGGCACTGGATCCTACAAAAACTCTTGGCCCTGACAGAAGTCCAGCAACAGTCCTGAAGACTTGTACTCCAGAGCTAGATGATCCCCTAAACGAGATGCTCCAGTGCAGCTACAACATTGGTATCTACCCAACAACACAGAAATTTGCCCAGGTATGTCCTGTATGCAAAAGCAGGACTAATCCAATTTGACCATTTACCATCAACCAGTCTACTTTCAAGCATCAAGTGATCACGCAGCACTTGCTTAGCAATAACCTGTTAATTGACAGAATTTGGGTTACGCAAGGGCTACTCAGCATTTGACATTATTACAGTCTTGGCTCAAGTATGGGCAAAAATACTGGATTCTGGAGATGAGGTAGGAATGACTACCCTTGACATCACGATCACAAGACTGAGTATGACATTAAGGAGCTCTGTAAAAACTACAGTCAATGGGAATTGGGGGGATAACTTTCCACTGGTTGGGGTCATACATAGTACGAAAGCAGCTAGTTTTGGTTATTGAAGGTCAGTCATCTCAGCTCCAGACATCTCTGCAAGAGTTCCTTAGGTTACTGTCCTAAACTCAGCCATCTTCAGCTGCTTCATCAACAACCTTCCCTCCATCATAAGGTCAGAAGTAGGCATATTCACTGATGCTCACACCATGTTCAGTATAAATAATGACTCCTCAGCAGTCTGTGTCCATATATGCAGCCAAATCAGGCAATATCCAGGCTTGAGCATGTATATATAGCATGAGATGATGGAATATTGGTAACCTTGCTGAAGTGGTTATCCAGAACCCCAAGCTAACATTTCGAGGGACATGAGTTTGAATCTCACCATGGTGAAATTTGATTGAATTCAAATTAAATAAAAGTCTGGAATAAGCCTAATAATAACCCTGGAAACAGTTGATTGCTGTAAAAACCCATCTGATTCAATAATGTGCCATCTTTACTTGGTCTGGCCTACACATGACTCCAGGCCAAGAGACATTTGGTTGTCTCTTAACTGTCCGCTAGGCAATTAGGGATTGGATGACCAAGCCAGCAATATCCATATCCCATGAAGGCATTTAATAAAAATAACCCACTTGATTGTCACCATATTCACCTCCTTAAAATCCACTCCCTTCACTATTGAGAGTTGCAGTAGTATGTACGTCTAAAAAAGTTATACAGCAGCAACTCATGAAGTCTCCTTCAACAGCATTTCCCAAAACGCAATCAATACTACCTAATACGTCAAGATTAGCTGGTACATAGGAGTACCACCCCTTGCAAGTTCACTTCCAAATCACACAATGTCCTGACTTGGAACTGTATCACTGTTCTTTCATTGCTGGTCAAAATCCTGGAAATCACTAACTTAACAGCTCTGTGGGTGTACCCATATACCATGAACTGCAACATATATAAAAATACACAGAGAAAAAAATACACAAATACACACACTGGCCATGTTAACTTCTTGGTGCTAATTGGCTAATTAGTGCAACTCCTTTCACAAGATAGTACAGCCTTCAATTTGTCAAACTTGAATCCCTTTATTGTCCCTTATAACCAGTTCTAATCCTTCAGTCGTTCATATCTGAACAGCATTTTATTCCATTAAAGGAAGTACGGAGACACAAGTAACTGATATTCGCATTGCTTCATACGTAATAACTGCAATTCACAATTGGGAAACCGATGCTGAAAGTTTAAGTTGCTGCTTTCATATTGTTCTTTTAACTCAAGTTTGACAAATCCATCGATCAGGTTATTTGTCACTTTCAACAAACCATCAATGGCTTACAGACCCACTATGAATCTGAGTCTGCCTCGACCTGAGAGAAATGGTTTTAGCAGCAGAAAAGCTGAGTTGCCTCACACACACAGGTCTCCCAAAATACAAAAGCAACTTACGATGTGTATTCTCAATAGATGTTTCCACATCTAATATTTGCATCAATCTTACAAAAATATAGTCTGGAACAAACTAGGCTTTCCATCTCAAAAGAACAATGCTAGTAATTAAATTTTGATCTTTTAAGTAAAATAAGTAAACAATTCAGACTTTGTAACATTTATATCTTGCAGAACCACTGATAACATACCATAATAGAAGCAAACTTTGCTCAAATAGGATTGGTCACACTTGGCTGACCTAATTACTTTCCATGAACTGTGTGCTGTTTTAGCACCCCTCAAAATGAAACTGTCCTTTCTAATTAGTGAAAAGATTAAATAAACTGCAAATGCAAATAATACACAGGAAATACACAGTAGGTTAGTCAACATCTGAAACAGAAGGTCAAACAATACAGGCAAGGCATTATTCGAAGGAAACCTGCTTTCTTTCTGATGTCAGCTACCTTTATTCCATGTGTTTAACATTTCTTGCTTTTGTTCCACCATTTTTTTTTAAACAACAGGCACAAAGGGCTGAAAAATGAACTGCATATTTGTACAAGTGAATTTTATATATTGTGGACTGAGATTGAGATCTTCTTTGGCATAATATGATCTACTTATGTCAGATAAAGGCTAACTTAATTTTAAACTTCTCTCAAGACCTTTTTGTTCCGCTGAAGGGGAGTATCAAACACTCTGATCAGGTATGTTCAAATGCAACATGAATTACCTTGCTACAGAGTGCTATCAAATTACGTGACCAAAAGATACAGGAAATTGTTGATAACATTGGAAAAATGCAAGTCAATTACACATCTAACCACATTTGGCAAATATTATGCTCTGTTGGGCTTTAAAAATGGAGGGAAAACATTGTGGAAAATGTGGAGAGTTATTTCTCTGCAAACTGAGTTGAGAGCTACTAGTGGCACAGCCGTAACCTGGAATGTTACTGACAATACAAATCATTCAGACAATAACAGAAGATATACATTTCAGCATTAAGATAAATTATAACAAAATATTCTTCTTGCTGCATTGTTGTGTTAGGCAGACATTAATGTAAAGCATGTAGCACTTACAGTTTAAACCAATTTTGCTCCGTTTCCAAAGAAATCATTCACACTTTGACTGTTCTACAAAGCTCACTGATTTCAGCTTGACATCTAATTTACGATTGCAGTCATTTGACAGCTGATCCATCTCGGAGATGTGTTTTCTGTTTTCACTGGAACATTTTTTTATTTGTTTGCATGAGCAAGCTTTATTCTGAATGATATCTGCAGTTTTTTTTTCTCTGCAGAAATTCAGGACAATCCAGACTTTCCACTCCTGAGGAAGAATATGTACTCTTCTGTATTCAGGTGGTCTACACTGGCACAACTAGAGTCCTTGGCTCAATTCACCAAAGCCACATTGACCTAATGAGACCAAGGAGTGAGGCAAAGAAAGCATCTTGCCTTTACTTGTAGGAATTTTTAAAAGAAAATTATACTACACTTTAGAAGAAGAAATGATAGCCACTAATATATCTCCTTCTCACAACCGAGTCCACAACCACCCGCCCACCAAAAGTGACTAAGTGTTATGAACATAATATTGGAACCTACTTTTAATGAGATCTACTTTTATTTTGTCTTAAAAAGTTATATTAAGGGCATTGCCAAAATTTGCCAAGTTTTGTCAAATTGCCATCTTTTATAATTCATAAATTAAATTGTTCTTAACACCTGAATTCATCATTTCAGCCATCATCTGCAAAATGGACATTATGATATTGAAGCTTCCCATTATTAAGAATAGAAAAATTGGTCAAAATTGTTGGATTTTGTTTCTCCTTCCCTCAATAAAAGGCCAATGGGCAAGATGATAACTGACTCAAACCCCATTAACTTCTACACAGTTAAAATAATCAGTTCAAATTTCTTCAGGCTATTTTGTCCCTTTAAAAGCCTGTATTGTGGTATCTTGTCTATTTGAAATTCAGGGAAATTATTCATGTTCTGTTGCAGTTTGCAAATTGCCATATGTCTAATTTAATTTGGGTAATCAAAGTCTGAACCAGTAGTTCTTTTCACTAACCCATCAAAGCTTTTATAACTTTTGCTAATTCAATGCCTGCACATAATTGCTCAAGCTTATTTGAACTGAAATGAATTTGAGTCTGAGTGTCTGTCAGAGTGTGAGCATCCAGAACAGATAACTACGTACATAAGCGTGTAGCTTTGCAATTTTATATTTATAATATGTGGTCATTTTGGCAGGGTTGGAGGGCTGTTGGTGAGACTGTATAGAGGAGATAAAACAATGCCTATCATTTCTTATTCCCAAATATAATGTGATTTTTCTTTTAAAAGTCTCATGTATGTAAAATATTCTGAATGTAACTTATTGTAATTTTCTGGTCATTCACATGCTAGAACTTTGAACTTTGTTGAGGTTTCCTCAGTTTCTTCTGTAAATTAATGGATTTAGCCACTATAAATATCAAAACACCCTTACCGTTACAGGCAAGTTACTTTCTTTGTGTCAATCCTTGTTCTGTTGTGGTCATGATGACTTGAACCCAGGACTCTAGCTGTGCCAGTGTAGGCCAGCTTTCTGGATGCAGAACAGTAGCCTTCAATTACTTAATTTATTACTACCTTTCTTTCCTCCCGAGAAGCATGTGGCCTCTGCTCAAAGTAGAAATTTGACTTACATTATGAATGTAGGGCATTCAGACATAAATTAACGCAAGGCACTCTAAAGCACCATGGGCTGGAAGTTCAAGTTATTGTGCCCCTTAAAACTAAATTGCAAACCTCAAAACAAAACCATATTCCACTTTTAAACTGTAAAAATGTAATACTATTGCTTCTAGCACAGGTTTTCACAAGTTCACGGGAACTCATTTTAAACAGCTGCCCATCTAATTAGTTATGGGATGTATATCTATTGCGGATGTGATAAACATGTATAATATATTGTCGCTTTCAGAATTTGGATTACTGAAATATACATACATGGGTTATGGTCAGTTCTCAGTAGGCACTTTATAAAGATCACAAAGTAATTTGGAACAGTGACCTAAATACATCATTTCCAGTGAGGTGACCAGCTGGATACCCGTGGCATTAATGGATGCAATGTTTATTCTGCTGCATTTACCACAAACCAAAGTCAATATTTCAGCTTTTGAGTTCAGATCAGGGGAAGATTACTATGAAAAACGGAAGAGGAAGGACAAGATTATATCCATAAACTGAACAGGTCTGTTATTTATAATTCCCAGTTTAAACACAAACAGCCTGTAAAGGAACAAGATTTGATCACAGCTTTAAAGTGTAAAAAATTTTCTTTGAAAGAGGAAGCGGGGCAGACAAACTAACAGTAAAGTCTAAATTTAAGGGATCCTTTCTAAACTGCATAGAAGATCTAGCATGAAGCATTTAAACCAGAGAACCCAAGCCATCATAGGTTTGAAGGATAAGGTAACACATGTATTATAACTCTAATGATGTAACAGGTGGTTGGTAAAGTACTTCTGTAGCCCTTTACTTTTTAAAATAGTTTCACACTTAGTTAAATACCTCAGACTGTTTAGAAATGGAACTCAATCAACAGGAAACCCTGACTGAACAATCGGCTTTTACAGAGCATCAAGACAAGGTCGCTATTGTAAAAAAAATAAATTAGTTGTATTTTCAGAGTTTAGAAAAAACTAAGTATTAAATGTTAAATGCAGTAATTAATCAAAGTGTGTACTCTGGCAAAAGATTCAACAGCTTTTTTGAGTCATAAGCAGACAGAAATGGAAAAATCGATGCATTAAATGGAAACAAAGGAGAGCTTCCTCCAAAGTTCATTTTCTTAAAAATATTCTTCCTATGGACTTTATTTAACATTAGCTGTAAGAGCCTTGCATTTATCAGTTAGCTTAAAAGGTGCCCACACAAAACGTAAGCAAACTTAAAATATACTTTCAGGGAATCCCCAAAAAGGGGACTCCTTTTATAATGTTACTTTCAGATTCACAAATATCCTCCTGAGTATTTTTTTCCAATCTCTGTGGCATTTTTTAAAAGAAGTTTGTGCTCTACTTCAAAGATTTCACACAACGTACAGATATAACGCATTTATTTTTAACATGAAACTAGGTTAAAAAGTCACACTCTGTACAATACTACAAATTTCTGAGCAAGTGTGCACTGGGAGTTCAAGACAATGTACTGGAACATTGTTAAGGACCATGTCTCAGTACTTAAAAAATACATTTCATAAAAAATGGTATTTCTCAAATGATTTTTTAAAATGAGAACAAATTAATTAGTAAATTTATATTTACTTAAACAAAATTTTGAATTTTGAAGCAAGTGGGGATTTGAAAGGAAGTGTATCACATAAGTAATGCAAGGCATAAGCAGTGAAAGTGAATCAAAAATTTTATGTAAATTTCCCTTTACTCACCAGACCAAATTATTCAATGTGCCAACTGGTTTCCTTCTCATCTACCTCATAGCTAAAATGTGTAATATATTACAAGAGCACTTCACATTTTACAACTTCCAAATAAAACCATTTACCAAGAAACCAGACATGAATTAATAGGATATAACAGGTAGCCACTCAATTTAAAAGCAACTTAAGCATGAACAGATATTACTTTTTCTAAAACTTCATTAAAATGTTAAAAAGAAACAGTTAAAAGTCATTAAATTATATTACTAATATGAAAAGCCACCTCAAACACAAATACACACCATTTTAGCCTAAGCTGCTCACAAAATTGGAGTATGCTTGGGCTGGAGTGCAAAATGGAAATTTGCTTCAACCTACTGTATTCCAACCAGACTCATTGAGCTAAAATTTGGGCCAAAGTCCTCAGGATCCATTACAAGACATTTAAAATGGGACAAATTGTGTGATCTAATTCATCTGTACCTCAACAGCATCTTTCCACTTTTATTCCACATCCCTAATAGACTGACCAAATAAATATATCAAATACAGTTTTCAAAAACTGCAACTGAGCCAGCTTCCACAACCATTTGGCAGATAAATTTCCAGATTTTCAGCATCATTGTGTGAAAGGTGCTTCTTGGGGTGGTGGGAGTGCTGCATGGACTGTTCAAGTGTTCTTTCATACGTTCACTTAAGCCCCTCCAAGAAAGAAAGTCAAACTGAACAAATCAACTTTTAAACAGTTGTCCTACTGTGATACAAAGACTAAATAAAACGACAGTTGTCTGCCCCAACAAGGCTCACCCTCAAGAGCTGCCAGTCAATCTCTAACGGTCCCAGTAGTGTTGTAGGGGCTGAGGAATGGACAGAGGCACAGGAAGAAGTGTGATGGTGACCAGAAATAGGGAAGGAAGGGGTAAAGGAGGGGTGGGGTCCCAGTTTTGGAAGGTAAGTGGGGAGGGATGACATCTTGAGGTGCTGCCCCCAGTGCTCACAGCATAATCTTTTGATTGAAAGGTGGAGGGTGCTCAAAGAAGTTGCTTCAAAAGTAGCTTTCATCATCTGGATGCCAGCCATTGCCAGGTGGTTTAAGGCAATGAGATGCTCAAGACCCTTCTTCAGGTAGTTTAGAGACTCTACAGGCCTAATAGCAAGCCGTCTAGTGGGTGACTTACCCAACCTCCATATTATGTAGAACCGGTCAAAGGTAGGTGGGAAGGAGTTAGGGTTGATCATCCAACCTATTTCTATGATTCCCTCCCATCCAAATCATGATTAGGTTTGGGGAAGTGGGTGGTTTATAACATTTAGCCCTGGATTCAATTCCTAAATAGCCCAACTCTAATTTTATTATGGCCCTTTTGTTCTGGATTATCTGTGAATTATTGCTATACTGAATAGCTTCAGTAATACTCCATGATATAGCATTCTTGTGATCTCAAAAAATGAAAACTAAAATGAAAAAGAACGGTTTTCATAATTGTGTCTTGTAAGATTAGATTTAGATTTAGATTTAGATTTAGATTTACTGTCACACACACACAAAAAAACAGTGGAAAGTGTTTTTTGCATGTTACATGTAGAGTGTTGCCATGTTCCAGTGCCATCTTGAAACACTGAATATAATGCAAGATTTTACTGAAACAGAGTTTATCTTTCCCTCTTCTTCTTGTTCCTCCTCCGCTGCTCCTCCAGTCACTGCTTGACATCAGCCAGAGTCTCTGAAATAGGCTCTGGGGTCTCTGTTACGGGCCTCCATCACTGCCACATCCAAATTGGAGCCATAGGCCTAGGTTTGCACGGGTTCAGTCATTCCAGTTCCCCATACAACGCTCATCCAGATGCTGCCACCGGTCATTGGTCGTCAGGGTCCACTGCTGTCCCTATTGCCAACGCTACTACTCCTTCAGGCACCTGGGCTTAGCCACGGACCTGGAGATTTAGCTCAGCTGGTGTTTCTGGGACAGGGGAGTCAGCCTGGA